ACTGTGCAGTCAGGTTATCAAATTCCAGCTTAACTTTGACATCTGGAAAACATACGTTTGCCATACGTAACATTTTCATACACACATAACAACTGTTTTTTTTTTTTATGCTTTTCAGCATAATTAAGAAAACGTCTGCCTTCCAGCCAGACTTGATGATAGAGCTTGAGCACAGAGAGGACAATGAGGTCCATGTGTTACCCTGGCTGAGGCCTTTATCCCTCACTTTGAAGTAAGCACCAAACACTGCATGTTCCGGCCGTTCTTGTCCGTGCTCTGGATTTTGACATGAAGTTCAGGTTTGCAAAACTGTGTAGGTGTTGAGGATGCAGGTTTTGGTCTCGAATCTGTTTCAGCAGAGGACTACAGGGATAAGACAGTAAATGACAAACTGAGCTTATTGGAATTAGGTGTTGGAATTATTTAAGTGCAGTGAGACTAGGAATAGTCATTCCAGTTGATTTAAAAACGCTTATTTTAATGCAAGAAAACTCTCTAAGACTGCAGATGAGTGGCTGATCACCCAAGATGAATGGTTCAGCATTAGAACTGAGGACATGCTCAGAAGATATGCCCTATGATGGGATGCTGTTAGCTACACCTTAGCAGATCTCTGCCTCTTCTGCTACAGTGATCAAATCCTTTCCATGCGTATGTTTGCTCATCAGGTGGACCTTCTTGCTCGTTTTATATCTTGGAGTCCATCTCTGTTCAAATAAAAGGCGAATTTCTGTTTGCCATGTTTGACTTGTTTTGCGTGGGAGCCAAACATCAGTGATAAGAACAGCAAACATAATCCACCGGAGCAGGAATAGAGCGGTACCTCACCCTGTGTCCAGAGCTGCAGACATTTGTTTAGAAATATACTGATAATTACAGTTATTTTAAAAAATGAGCTCCTGTCCAATGAAAAAAAAAATAACAGCTAAGCCACACGTCTGTAGGCACAGGACTGGAAAGAGGAGGTGGCGACACCGTTGTCAGCATTGTCTCACCTCCACCTGCAGACACGTGAGAAAAGAAGCAGCATTCTTTTTGCTGGTTTCCTCTGCTTTGGCAGACAGCTAATTTTCATTTTAAGGAAAAAAAGAAAAATCTATTTAGCTTCTTTCCTTTGTGGTGATGGTAGATACGTGAAAAGCCAAAGCAAAACAAAGAACAAAACCACCCCTGAAACAGAGCTGCGGTTACGGACAGTAGGTGTGATCCTGGCACATGAACCTCTCGAGGTTTGGTGTCTATCTCCTTGTTTGTTCACACAAACAAAACTTTTGGTCTTCAAAACCAAGTAGAAAGAGCAGTAAATAACACTGAGGGCCACAAAATTAGAGGGTTACTAATAGGCTTTGCTTTTTCAGAGATCCCTTGGAAAAGGAGTGACTTTCCTAAAGTGCTCTGGCAGTTGTTTTTATGATGATATATCAAATCTGTTACTCAAAAGTCTCTTGCAATTTTAGTGCATTTTGGTCCACGTGCGTGAAACTGTTAGTGGGAACATTAATCCCTGGGAATAGCTTTCCCTTTAGCTTTCCAGTCTCCTGCAAGTGCAAACCACCGGAACACAGAGGTGAACGGACGGGTGTTTTCTGACAAAGGAGATGTTATGGTAAAATTCATGGCTCAGGAATTCCCTCCGAGCTCTGGCTCTACTGTGGCATCTCTTCATCCTCAGTGACCATGCTGTATCCAGCATGAGAGAACACACTGCACAACACGACACCTGGCTGTAGGCAAACAGAAGTTGGGGAAATAGGTATCCCTGAAAGCATTTCTCCAGCGGGAGCCTAAGGAGTAATCCACTTGGTATCTACTCTCACTTTGCACAGCATGGGACCACAGAGTATTTAAAAACGATGCGTCCTTTTTTCCCAGGACAATTACTCTTGGAATTCCTGTCCTTTGGTCCCACACCTGAAATCACGCTAGTTGCCATCTGTAACTTTAGATAGAACCATGCCTGAAAATGGATTTGTCTTAAAATGCAATTGCAAAGTTCCCTTCTGTAGTAGCAGGACAACTTTGTTCCAAGTGTACTCGACGCGGTGTGGCAGAATTGAGTAACAGGAAGCTCAGTATAATATTTAATATTGTTAAACAAACACCAGCATTGGAGTTCAGATGTCTCTCTCAGCAGTTATATGAAATGTTGGCATGAAGTACAGGACAGACAACAGAAGATATCTGGAAATAAACATGGACCCTGTATTACAGACTTACATATTAACTCTAGGGGACCGGCAGCGTTCTTGCTAACACTGCACAACGCCGCAGGGGAAAAGTCCAGCTTGCTTTCAAGATGCAGCAGGACATACCGACACGTTCTCTTGTGCTCAGTTGCAGTGTAACAGAAAATACTTTCCCATCCAATCCTTAACTGTCATTTTCTGAAGCCTGCTCTGATACAGCCCCAGAGCATTTCGAGAGCTGATCTAAGGCATCATTTGCCCCTACCACATTTTTTTTTTACCACTTAGGCAATATTGCAGTCTGGCTGCATTTTACAGTTGCTTTATGGTCATCGACAAGACACCTAAATATGTGTTGATATCTCACCGAATGCTCTGTTAAAATTTGAAAGGAGACCCAGGTTAAAGACGCAGGTAAATCAAGCTTAGGGTTGTAGAAAGGTTACATTCCCTTTTTACAGTGGCTTTCATTGGGTCAGAGTGCTGAGTTAGCTCCTTGCATTCATTTTATCTGAGATATTAGAAAAAGTATTGTCAAGCCCCTGCATCCACCCTTCCCCCTCTCACCATTTTTATCAATGCAAAAGGTGTGCAGAAGTTTCCAGACTCAGGATGCTGATATATCCCAACGTCAGTGATTTAAGGGACTGATTTAGTGGTCCACAGCCATTCTGAAGGTTATAGGTTAATCAGAAAGGTCCACGTTTTAGTAACGGGTTCTTCTTTGGCAGAGGGATGTGGTCAGTAAAACCAATTAGAGACCAAAGTGTTTACCCAGCTCTTTCCTGGGATTTTGTTAGGCTAAAGCAGCACAAGTCTGAAAGGTTCAGACCGTTCATCATAACTGCCATAATGCTCCAGAAAGTTGGGATTTTGCTACAACCGCCTGAAAATAACCCCTGTTTCTAACACAGTGACAAAACCCAGGTGCTTTTCTGCAAATTTGCCTTTCCCCACCATCCTTCACGTAAAAGTCATCCACATAACCTTTAATACCCAAAAACAGAGCCTTGTTGCTTTAACTCACTAACAAAAACGTTGGTGTTCACCTACAAGGATGTCAGAAGCAGACTGGGGAAAATGCAAAACCTTTTTGCAAAAGCAGCAGCTGGTACAAATTTGTTGTATCAAACCGTTCTGCGTATTCAGATTAGTTTGACGTGGTCGTTCCTGGACAACAGGATGGTCTTTCTGAAAGACAGGATGCACTGCCTTGACATGTTTCTAACAGAAAACTGCCTGCAAATATTTTATGCTTAGACACATCATTTGATTTATTTAAGACATGCTTAAAAACTCAACTTCAGAAACCAAGTCTATTTTTTTTTTTTTTAAATTTTATCAAATTTCCAGAAAACGGAAAATTGAATTATTCATTCTACTCCCAGTAAGAATAACACGGAGTTGTGGTAAAACGTCCCACTTGAGGAAAAAAAGAGTAGAAAAGGGAACTTTAAGGACTAAGGACCACGGGGTGGGTACTTGCTGCTGGAAGCAGCGAGTTGCGAGGCAGAGCACGGCCTCCAGCACCGCGCTGACCATCCTTGTGCCGGTTGCCATCCGGCCACCGGAGAGAGAAATTCCTTACAAGTAAATCATACTATTTCCCACCGTGGAACTACATCACTTGGCCCTTGGTAAAGATCCAATGTTATACTTGCCTTTTTTTTTTTTTTTTTTCCCAAGCCTCTCACTGAGTGTTTTGGAAAAATAATTTCAATTTGATTCCGCGTCCTGGGGCTCTGTGCAAACTTCACACTTCTTCCTGTGTCTCATCTGCTCCGTTACTGACTGATCCATAGAAATTTTTCAAAGAGGAGAGCGGTGCTTACTTAAGAGATGACTCTTGGAAGGATGTCAGCGCAGATGAGAAATCGCAAAAATTAAGAAATGACAGCTCTTGCAAATATTTACACACGTATTGGGCAGTTTTCTGGGTCCTGGTGAATCCCAGTACCCAGAGAAATCCAGACCGGGACCTGACAAATGGAGTGCTCGAATCAGCCCTCGGTCTGTCTGAGCAGCCTTCCTCTTGGATGTTACCCTGAGCACACATCCCAAAATTTGGGGTGAGATCCAGTCTTGTACAGTGTGAAAGCGTCAGTTCCAACTTACTGACGCACATCCCTTGTCTCCATCAGTTTGTTCCACTCGGGAGCTCCATACATTGGGAGATTCAGGCTCCTCGGTACCTGTTCCACACCTTCACCTTCTGTTTCTTCAGCAATTTGGAAGCCAAGTGACTTGGGAGCCACGGTTCACCTGTGTCTTTGTGCTCCTCGCTGTATTTTACCAATCTGTATTTTTTTATACCCAAGTCTGGATGAGCCATCTCATCTTTATAAAGTGATTTAAAATTAGAATTAAAACCCTTTAATTACCAACAAGTACATAGATGGAGTCCTATCTGGGTGAGTTGTTACTGTACAAAACCAACCTGCTTTGCTTTTGGACCAATACTAGCAAAAAGAAAAAAAAAAAAAGGAAAAAAAAAAAAAGAAAAAGCATGGCTATTGGATTAGACTTGATGACTTTTTCGTCTGATGCCTTGAACTCCTTGTTTGTCATTTGATAAGGAAATTTACGCAAAACTTTATCTATTTGGGTGCTGGAAGGTCCGACCTTTTCAGGACAAAAAGGCCCAGAGTAACACATAATAAACAAATATCATCAAATTCATTTTTGGCAAGGACAGTCCGAGTTTTGTAATCTTCTTCAGACCTAGTGGAAATCTACAAATGCCAACTCTGTGGTTAATATTTGACAGACACAGGTAGTAAGGGTATATAAGCAAATGCTTTCCCTTCAATCTTCCTAGCATTTCTAATCAATTAAGCCCACCTCATAATCTGCAACCATGAAGTGGGTAACGTTAATTTCCTTTCTTTTCCTCTTTAGTTCTGCTGCATCCTGGAATCTGCAAAGAGTTGCTCGAGACACAGGTAAGAAAGGACTAATTAGTTGTCTTTGCAGTCTTGGTTAGATCCATGTAATGACTTTAATGCAATTGCATGAACAATTCTGGCAAGCCTGATCCAAAGAGAACATAAAGATGTGGTTGACTCAAAAACAAACTAAATGGAGAAGTGGTGAAGAGATGGGTAGAACACTCCAGACAACTTAACTGGGCCAGTAAGTTTGGTGACATCTCTTTGCAACATCAGTGTCGTGCACGAAGAGATGTCAATTATTCAGAGTCTGTTAATTTGCAGCATGGAGAAGGCAGATGCCCTGTGCTTTTGGAAGTGCTGTCTTTGGAATGGCCCTTCATAAGTGAGGTCATCACCGCTTAAAAGCAACCGTTTTCACACGAGTAGGTTAAAAATGAAAAAATTTACACCTTAGTTTGGGCTGTAAGGTGGCTAGCTGAAAACTCCTCGTTGTTTCATCGCTCCCTGTATTATAAAAGTTTTGATCTCGGTCAAACAAACATTTCTGCAGGCAGTCCTAGAAATCTTTCCACTGTTATTTTTGATTTTTGTTTGAATCATGAAAACACTCAAATGGAACAAAACTTAAGTTTTCAGGAGCTGGCTGGAAATGCGACTGAACAGCAGCAAAAAAAAATAAACCTTTAAATTACATTTTTCTGCACTGGAAACCCTTATTATCAAAGCAGATACATTCCATTAAGTAAAAAAAAATCAGGCGTCGTGTTTTCTAAATGCTCCTGAAAGGTATTTCTAGAACAAAAGACTGCCCCTCCTTAGCGTGGCGATGCGCCTGGCTATCTGTTGGGAAATATTTGAATTAAGTACATGCTTACAGGGGTAAATATTGTATTGGAATCCTAAAAATCACATGCTTAGGTTCCTTCAGAAAGGTAAGTGTGCGTAAGAGTTAGGTACCTGCAGACAAAAGGACAAGAATGGTCATCTGAGACAACAGAGTGGAAGGTGGCCTGAAGAAGGCTTTAGATTGAAGTTCCCGGAAAAGCAGCACCCATTACCCAGGATGGCATGCCCAAAGGTGGGATTTTGCATTTGGGATATTGCTTTCTTAAGTACAGGAGCTGAGTGAAGCCTGAACGCTTCCGAAAATCTGGCCCAAGGTGCCCAGAATGTCTTCTTTAAAGGGTCTAGCACAGCCAGCGTGATGGGAACTATCGTCATCCTCTTTGTTTTTCTTCCTAGAGCACAAGAGTGAGATTGCCCATCGCTACCGTGATTTGAAGGAAGAGACATTTAAGGCAGTGTAAGTCAATGTTCAGGTTGTGTTTTCTGCTCTCTGTTGTACTGGACCAAAAAGGGAAACTGAGACACCCTGTATGAGCTAGTGAAGAGCGTAGATGTCTCCCTGAAGCATGGCATTGAGTTCATCTTCTCACTGTTAGTATACAAAGCCTACATTTAAGACCTGCAAAAGTCACCATGACTTTCTTGCTGTCTGGGAAAAGAGCTCCCTGCAAACCGCAGGAGAAAAGCTGTGTTCCTTGTGCGACAAGAAAACAGGCACGAGCGATGCAGTTTTGATCACCTTAGGATGCAGGAGTTGTGCTGGATTGAGACATTACCAAAGAAACCACCCAACTCCAAAAAACTAACCTGCGACAAGTTTCCTGAGACAGTCCAATGATTTTCTTTTGGAACTGGTTTTGGGGATGGCAGAGGGCCCTGGCAGGAACATAGCTACTTCTGAAAGAAGGCAGCCTGAAGGTCAGCGTTTGTGACAACAACAAAGACAAGTTCAGTTTATGACATTTACGACTACGCGGGTAAAAGTGGCAGAAAACTCAAATCACAGTTTTCTGTTTTGTTTCTAATCTATTATTCCAGCCTCTTTGTTCTTGAAAACTAAGGGTCAAAAGATTTGTGAGAAAAGGAAGGATGGGGGATCCAGTACTGTGCTCTTCCCCGTGCTGTTTAAGCATTTGTGCGTGTCGTTGGAGCAAACGATTTCGAATCCAGAAACACCTTTGAAAATATTGACTGTTCTGTGTCTTATCTCCGTGTTCCAAAAATCTGCTTTGTGTTTCAGTACCATGATCACATTCGCCCAGTATCTCCAGCGATGTTCTTACGACGGGCTGTCTAAGCTGGTGAAGGATGTCGTTGACCTGGCACAGAAGTGCGCGGCCGACGAGGACGCTCCTGACTGCTCGAAATCACTGGTAGGCAGCGAATCCTTTGGTGGTGTCTTTCTCCTCCTTCTGAGCAGCTACCAGAATCATCCTCATCGAGGATTTCGGCCCGACCCTTTCGGGTGTTGCCGTTGTCATCGGCCAATGCTCAGATTTTAGTGCTGAAACAAAGATCTAGTTTTTGTCAGGTTCTCACACTGCCTTTCAGCAGGGCCCAAACCATCTGTGGAGCCATATCGGGGCCCAAACCCCACGCTTTGGCACATTAAGTTCAGCATTGCCTGGAAATAAATGTTAGCTTTTAGTACAGATACTCCAGGTGTAAAATATGGATCTAATTCTAATTATTTCAGTGACCAAAGCGTGTGGGTTTTCACATTGGGGTGACTTGAAAAAGTACGTGTGGGAATTTAAGGTACTTCAAGAAATTTTAGAAAAACTCCTGTAAGATCAGGTAGCAAAACAAGTTTGCAGGTATCCAGGATCCCTGGATGACTAGCAGGTCCAGCCTGGCCCTTCAGAAAGTTAAGTGCTACCATTCACGCCAAATGACATGGCTACATTAGTTCTCTGTAAAGGTTTCCCAAACTGATCATCAAGTAGAACATCAAATCCTGCTTCAAAGCATCTGAAAATTCAGTGTAGTCAGATTATAAATAAAAGGAGATCACTGTCTCGCACAGACTATTTTAAATTATCATTAAAATTTGTTTTTTTCAATAGAGCATGGTAACAGGTTTGATATCAGACCACATAAATTAAAACTTGATGAAATCGTGCTGAAAACATGATTTATGGTCTGAATCTTTCCCAAGAAAAATCTATCTACTTTTCAATCTGGGATTTCTTTTACAAATTAATGCAACGTACATGCCACTGTCTCTAAACAATAATTCTGAGCCTTCGCATCTCCCCTGTAGCCCTCCATTTTCCTGGATGAAATCTGCCAAGTGGCAGCGCTCCACGAGTCCTATGGTGCCATGGCCGACTGCTGTAGTAAAGCTGATCCGGAGCGAAACCAGTGTTTCCTGTCCTTTAAAGTTGCCCAGCCAGACTTCGTTCAGCCCTACCAGAGACCAGCTTCTGATGTGATATGCAAGCAGTACCAGGACGACCGGGTGTCGCTGCTGGGACAGTAAGAAAAACGGCCATTTTGTACTGATTAAGTATTTAGTCGTGCAGCAAAGGGATCCCCAAACCACACAAAGCAAGTGGGCAAGGAGGACGTTGGAAAAAGTTGCAAGGATTCAACCACATGTATGAAACAGTCGCTCAATCATTCGATGTCCAAAGCTCTGGTCATATATTTTTTTGTTCCGTGCTAAAGCATGTTTTTCCATGCAAAAAAGGGCTTTAAGGGATCACATTTGAGAGATCTTGGGGAACTACAAGTTGTAGAAGCTGGGCTTTAAGGGATCACATTTGAGAGATCTTGGGGAACTAGAAGTTGCAGGGCTTTAAGGGATGACATTTGAGAGATCTTGGGGAACCACACGTTGTAGAAGCTGGAGGAGATTTAAGGCTGATCCCTGTTGTCACTGGAACATCCAACTTAGGATTTCGTTCCCCTCGTAGTTTCATCTATGCTGTTGCAAGAAGACACCCCTTCCTGTATGCCCCAAGCATCCTCGCCCTGGCTGCTGATTACGAACACGCGCTTCAAAGCTGTTGCCAACAGAGCGATATCGGTACTTGCTTGGATGAAAAGGTACGTCCAGTTCTTCACTGGGGATGAAAATTAAGCAACTGGTCTGGTACAGAAAGGTGTCTTGTGATCGGGGCAGCAGTTCTCTTGAAAGTGAGGAGTGACTTTAAAAGGCTAATGTTAAATTACGGTTTAGAACTCCAAAATTGTCTTGTCCCACAGTGATTTTCAGATTTTTTTAGAGTACCTAAGCCAAGATTTCACGTTAACCTTGAGAATGGCAGGAGCCAAGTTTCCCTTGATCTCAAACTCAGTCCCAGTGACTTTTGCGTAGTCACTGCGGAGCTTGGAAAGACAACTTCAGCTCCATTGACACCACAGGGTTTTCAGTGAAATTGAATTTTTCGGTGAACAGCAGCACACCTGTGGAAGAATTGCACCGTGCCATGAGGTAGAGTGTGTAGACTGGAAGGGAAATGCTGGGTGGGGAAGTGGTTAGGACTGACCAAGGAGTTCTCATCAGAGCTGACTGGACCAGAACCTGCGGTGATTCTGGAGTGAGGTTTTCAGGTTTGCTTTTTTCTCCGACCGTTAGATGTAGTAAGTTTAACGTGACAATGTGCATCCTGTTACTATAGGCAGCTGCCATAAAAGAAAAAGCCAAGAAGGTCAGCATGAAGCAGCAATACGGTTGTGGAATCCTCGAGAAGCACGGCGAGAGAATTTACAAAGCATAGTAAGTTCCAATGAGGTTTTTTTTATAAAAAGTAGACTGGTTAAGGTAAACCCGAAATTACTCTAGAGGAAAATATCAGCGTGTATGATTCACTTCTATAGGCTGAGTTTGAAAACTGCACTTTGTAGCAAACTTTTGGTTGAGGACCACGGTCCAAAAGACTGGAGACCAGCGGGACGGTTGGTCAACGCTAGGCCAACAGCGATTTCTCCGCCTATTTATTTAAATGTAGGATTTAATTTCTGGGTGCAAAGGGGAACCTGGGTACTCCAGGCTGCTGGCAAGTGCTAGTAACAAGAATGCTGTGAGAGTTAAGGAGAAATAAAACCGTTTCTAGGACGAAGCCAGGATACGCTGAGTTATCTGACAGAGCATCGCTCCGAACCAGAGATTCCAGTGGGTTTAGTCTACATTTTGGCCAAAGCTGTGCCCCGTTCCGATGGCCACAGCTTTTAGTGACAGGCACATCAGTGAGGAGCAAGGTCGCTGTTTGAACCTTAAAGCAATGGGAGAGTCAAATTTGGCAGCATCACAGTTCTTGTCAGAGGTGTGTTTTTAAGATTAAGGAAGCCTTCCACAATGAACGCGCGGATCAGCTGCCGAAGCCCAGAGAACCCCTCTCATCCTGCAGCTAGTCTAAACCACCAACATGGACTAGGATCACCTTACCAGATACAGTCAGATTTGATGGAAACGTTCACTTTAGACTATCTACATCCGTGCTAAGTAATCTAGCAATGCTTCAGAGTTACTCAAGAGCCATGAGGAATTCTAGGGAGTGATTCTTACATAGACAGCTCCGAAGAACAGAAGAATCCCAGGCTTGTTTCCTTCTGTCTGTTTTAAAATAGGGCTGATTGCCAGTGCAGGTGCCTTTTGTTCTATGCCCCAGAAATTAGACAAGAAGAGTGAAAGAGTGCTCACTTGAAACAATACTGATCATAGAATGGTTAGGGCTGGAAGGGACCTTCAAAGGCCATCTAGTCCAACCCCCCTGCAAGGAACAGGGACATCTCCAACTAGATCAGGTTGCTCAGGGCCTCGTCCTACCTGGCCTTGAATGTCTCCAGGGATGGAGCATCCACCACCTCTCTGGGCAACCTGTTCCAGTGTTCTACCACTCTCATGGTAAAAAATTTTTTCCTAATATCCAACCTGAATCTACCTCCCTCTATTTTAAAACCATTACCCCTTGTCCTATAAGATCTGCAGTATCTTAAGTGTTAGTGGCTTGTAAGGTTTCTGTTCAATACAGAGCTTTAAAACAAATGTATTTTTTTTCTTTTCCACCTAGTAAACTTGCTCACTTGAGCCAGAAATATCCCAATGCTCCGCTCTCCGAAATTGTTAAAATTGTGAAAGAAATTAAGGGTATCACCAAAGAGTGCTGTGAAGGGGACATGGTAGAGTGCATGGATGACAGGGTAAGCTAAATATTTTCAAATAATATTTATGTATTTGAAAAAGGTTTATTAAAACAAAAAACTTGTGCAGTGATTCATTTGCAGTCCAAGGAACTAGTACTCAACATTGCTGGAAGGTTCCTCAGCCACAGGAAAACTCTGGGCCAGCTCAGCGGGCTCTTACTGGAGCTGGGGTTTGGACCAGTTCTGGCTCTAGTCCTTTAGGATCAGGAGGCCAAGGAGTCGTTACTTACAGTATAGCATGTGTGTTTGGTTGAAATCCAAATGTTTGTCAGTGAGGGTGTTTGATGGTATTTACTCACTTCAAACCAACCATAAACAAAGCAAAAGAAAGCAGAGGCAAAAAGGCCACCATTTTTTTGCTGTCCTGTTGTGTGTGCTGCCATCAACCCAGCCTTCCTGCAGTGCCCATGAGCTCTAGAGAGCAGCTGGCAGGGGAGGATGAGCAAAACTGCAGTAGTGACATCATTTAAGTATAGCCTGGCTGGAACTTGGACACGCTTGTTGAAGCAGCCAGGATCCACCACTGGCTTTATGGAGCTCTGGGGTTTTTCATGTTTTGTCCTCTGTCAGCGCTGGGCACCTGACCGGATCGATACAATCAGTGAGGCATCCTTGCCACAGACCTCTCAGTGACTTTCCCTGGCTTTCCAGAGTTTGTCTTGTCAAAGTTTCTAAGATCAGGGAGGGAACCACATTCTCCCCTGTTTGTGCCTGTGAACATCGTGCTCAACACACTCAGGACATGCCTAACCCTCTCGTTATTTCTCTTAGATGGAGACAGCGTTTCTTTATTAAAGCACTAAGTAAATAAATGGCTTGAATGAAGAGGGAAGAGTCTGAAAAAGAGAGAGGAGAGGAATTAATCTATCTTTAAAGTATCATTCCATAGCTTATCTGAGAATATGTTTTAATTTCCCAGGCAGAGCTTATGACCTATATCTGCTCTAAGCAAGATGTTTTCTCAAGTAAAATCAAACACTGCTGTGAGAAGCCAGTTGTGGAACGAAGCGAGTGCATTATCCAGGCTGATGCTGATGACAAACCTGAAGATCTTCCTTCACTGGTTGAAAAATACATACAAGATAAGGAAGTGTGTAAAAGCTTTCAGGCAGATCACGACGGGTTCCTGTCATCGTAAGTAGTGCCAACAGTACACGTCCTGTATTTGAACGTTCCTGCCAACCATCTCCATGTTTTCTGGACTACAGCCTTTGGCACCACTGGAAAAGCTGCCCTCTTGGGCCTTTCTAGTGCATATGGAAAAAAAAGAGATGACCACAAGGAAGTCAGATGTAACCAGCGTAGCTTCAGCCCTAGTTGAACCCCTACTTTCTCATTCATCCTTCGTGATCGTTTCTGTTCAGCATTGTCCTGCTTATCTGAATTTATCTGTGCCTTTCTTTGATTCGAGGGCTTTATGCATGCCCATGCACATTATCTGCTTAAGAAGTATTCTGTCCTGGGCAACTATTTTGTTCCTCTCATGTTTGCCCTGTTAGCAGACAACAGAACAACCTAAAAGAAAAAAAAAATTCTACTAAAACAAGCAAACAGCATTCCAAGCCCGTTGTCCACCTTACTAGATCTCATCTGAGCAACTGTCATTGTCAATTAGTGTGTTGTGCATGAACGAAGCAGCGTGTTGTTTGGGAGGTCTGATTCCATCAGCTTGTGTGTTTTTTTTCAGGTTTGTTTATGAATACTCACGAAGACACCCTGAGTTGTCCTCGCAGCTGATTCTCAGAGTTGCTAAGGGCTATGAAACACTCCTGGAAAAGTGCTGCAAAACAGACAGCCCTGCTGAGTGCTACGCAAGCGCTGTAGGTGCAAAGCTTGGTTTGCAGAAAACTAGAACCCTTGGTCACTACCTCTTGGGAAACAATTGGGTTGAGAAACTCCTACGGAAGAGCAGACAGAAAGCGTTTTGGGAGACTAATCCCAAAGGAAGTTAGTGTTCTGATGGGAGATGAAGCAGTGCAGGGCCCCTGACAAGGACAGAGTTTTCTCAGCTCACAGAGCAACTTCATGGGTCACCTTACAAAATTTCAGACTGGTCTCACTCAGCTCATTGATGTCTCTGTCTCTCAGAAATTATTCTGCTTGTCCTCAAGACAACGATTAATAGCTGGTTAGCTGAATTATTCTGTGGGCTCCACTGCCTATACTGAGCACGGCTGCTCGTGGATCGTGATGGGAACCTGCACGGCCAGCTCACGTAGAGACACCGAAACTTAGGCCTCCTCATCTTCAGCTGAATGGCACACAAGTCACAGATGGAGTTGAGCCACTGACACCTTAAGCCAAGGGATAGAAAGAGGATGTTCCCCTCACGGCTGATAATCCTATACTTGAAAAACATTTACCTGATTTTTAACCAACAAACCAACCCACCCCATTGTCTAGAAATAAAGTCCAAGGTGTAATAGAAGTAAATTTAATTTCAAACATCTTAGTGCCTTTTTAACCAAGTTTCTGTTAGAACTTAAGACTCACGTGAGAATCAAGTCCTCCCTGCACCACCCAGGCAGGACGGAAGTCATCAGCCTTGCAAAAATGAGCATCTTAGAGCTAATAAGATGGAGGAGGCCAAAAGGTGTTACTTGTATGACTGTTACCTGGATGTCCTGCTCTGACGTTACTAACAAATTTGTTCTTGTTTGCAGCAAGAGGAATTGGACAAACATATCAAAGAAACTCAGGAGGTTGTCAAGACAAACTGCGAGCTCCTCACTACCCACGGCGAGCAGGACTTTCTTAAGGCGTAAGTACTGCCCGACAAATATTCTTGAGCGTCAACAATGATGCTGGGTGCCTTGGGCACATTTGTTTGGTCTTCACTTCTATTTTCACTTCAGTGGTCTAGCTCAATAGAGAATTCTTCATATGTGAGCAAACTGTCATTTTGATATGACTTTTTCAGACTTCTGATCCGCTACACCAAGAAAATGCCTCAGATGTTGACCGATACCTTGCTTGACATCGGAAAGAAAATGACAGGCATCGGCAAGAAGTGCTGCCAGCTTGCTGAAGACAAACGCCTGCCTTGTTCTGAGGGATATGTGAGTACCTTGGGCTGTTCTCTCTGTTCCTCTGGAAGATTTCTTTTGGTCTCAAAAACATTGAGCTCTGGTGAGATAGCAAACTCAGAATGATTTTTCATAAATCCCAAGCGAAGCATCC